TAGCCCAGGGCCAGTCTTCCTCAGCAAATAAAGAGGAGGATTGGCAGATGTTAGCACAGGGCTGATCTCCTCACCAAAAAAAAAAAAAAAAAAAAGTAAAAGAATGAATATGTTCAGCAGAACAGAAAACACAATAACATTCTTTATTTCCAAGGACCTCTGAGTTTTTCCTTGTCTCCCATATTGTCCTAGAGACAGTTAAGATAGAGGTTGTAGCTATCCTTTCATGATAAAAACTCTCAAATTCAGTACAGAAGGAACATACTTCAACATAATAAAGACCATATACGACAAACCCACAGCTAACATTATACTTAATGGGGAAAAATTGAAAGCTCTTCCTCTAAGATCAGGAGCAACACAAGGGTGCCCACTCTCACCACTCTTATTCAACATAGTACTGGAAGTCCTAGCCAGAGCACTTAGGCAAAAAAAAAAAAAAAAAAGGAAATAAAAGACATTCAAATCGGAAAAGAAGAAGTAAAATTGTCATTATTTGCAGAAGATGTGATCTTACATATGAAAAACACTAAAGACTCAACCAAAAAACTGTTGGAACTAATCAACAAATTCAGTAAAGTTGCAGGACATAAAATCAACATACAGAAATCAGTGGCGTTTCTGTACACTAGCAACAAAACATCTGAATAAGAAATAAAGAAAACTATCCCATTCACAATAGCATCAAAAGCAATAAAATACTTAAGAATAAATTTAACCAAGGAGGTGAAAGATCTGTACACCGAAAACTACAAGCCTCTAATGAATGAAATTGAAGAAGACACAAATGGAAAGATATCCATGTTCATGGATCAGAAGAATTAATACTGTTCAAGTGTCCATACTACCCAAAGCCATCTATAGATCCAACACAATCCCTATCAAAATTCCAATGGCATTTTTAACAAAAATAGCAAAAACAATCCTAAAATTTGTATGGAACCCCAAATAGCCAAAGCGATCATGAGAAAGAAGAACAAAGAGAGAGGAATCATACTTCCTGATTTCAAACGATACTATGAAGATTTAGTAATTAAAATAGTATGGTATGAGCATAAAAATAGACACATAGACCAATGGAACAGAACAGAGAGCCCAGAAATAAAACCCTATTTTACAGTCCATTAATATTTGACAAGGGAGTCAGGAATACTCAATGGGGAAATGACAGTCTCTTCAACAAATGGTGCTGGGAAAACTGGATAACCACATGCAGAAGAATGAAATTGGACCCCTATCTTACACCACTCTCAAAAATTAACTTGAAATGGATTAAACATAAGACCCGATACTGTAAAACTCCTAAAACAAAACATGGAGAAGAAACTCCTTTATGTTGGTCTTGGCAATGATTTTTTAGATATGACACCAAAAGCACAAGCAACAAAAGCAAAAATCAACAAGTGGGAGTACATCAAACTAAAAAGCCTCTGCACAGCAAAAAAAGCAATCAAAAAAATGAAAAGGCAACCTACGGAATGGGCGAAAGTATTTGCAAACCACATATCTGATAAGAGGTTAATATCCAAAATATATGAGGAACTTATATGACTCGGTAACAAAAAACCAAATAATTTGATTAACAAATGGGCACAATAATTGAATAGACATTTTTTCAAAAGAAGACATACAAATGGCCAACAGGTACATGAAAAGATGCTCAACGTCACTAATCAACAGGGAAATGCAAATCAAAACCACAATGAGGTATCACCTCACACCTGTCAGAATGGCTATTATCCAAAAGACAAGTGATAACAAGTGCTGGCAAGGATGTAGAGAAAAGGGAATCCTTGTACACTTGGTGGTAATGTAAATTGGTTGAGCCACTATGGAAAACAGTATGGAGGTTCTTCAAAAAATTAAAATTATAACCACCATATGATCCAGCAACCCCACTCTTGGGTATATATCTAAAGGAAATGAAAACAGGATATCAGAGATATATGCACTCCCATGTTTATTGCAGCCTTACTCACAACTGCCAAGATATGGAAACAATCTAAGTGTCCGTCAACAGATAAACGGATAAAGAAGATGTGGTATGTATATATCTACAATGGAATATTATTCAGCCATGAGAAAGAAGGAAACCCTGTCATTTGTGACAACATGGATAGACCCCCTTGCAGGAATTATGCTAAGTGACATAAATCAGACAGAGAAAGACAAATATTGTATTATATCACTTATATGTGAAACTTAAAAAAACTGAACTTGTACAAACAGAGTAGAATGGTAGTTACCAGGGGCTGGGGGCTGGAGGGTGGGGGAATTGGGGAGATGTTGTTTAAGGGTACAAACTTGCAACCCGTAGATAAATGAGTCCTGAAGATCTAATGCACAGCACAGTGATTACAGACAACAATACTGTACTATAAACTTCTAAGCCACTGAGAGACTAAATATTAATTGCTCCCACCACAAAAAACAAATGATAATCATATGATGTGATAGAGGTGTTAGCCAACGCCTCAGTGGTAATCATATTGCAATGAATAAATGTACCAAATCAACACGTTATACACCTCAAACTTACACAATGTTATATGTCAATTATATCTCAATAAAAATAAATTTTTTAGAAAGAGGGAGATTATAGCATTATCAAGTCAAGCATGACACAAAACATAATTTGAACATGGCACAGATGAATTTATAGTAAACCATTCTTTTGGCAGGGGGGCTGCAAGTATGATACCAGCACATAGGAAATGCTGGAAGTTGTGCAGATATAAGAAATTAAAATACAACAACCATTAGGTATTGCCATACAGCTGAGTTTCCATAGAGAAGTGAATGCCCTAGGAAGATACAATGTTTGACTTAAAGATGAAAATTATTCGTCACCAAGGCAAAAGATGAGTTTCCAAGTTTTTTAAAAAATAGAATTTACTTATTAATTTCTTGCTTTTCTGATTATAAAAGTATAATACTCCTTACAGAATATTTTGAAAACATAGAAAAGTATAAAGAGGGCAAAAAAATCACCCAAAATAATTGCTGTTAACATTTTTGACATGTTTCCTATTAGTTTTTTTCTATGCATACGTCTATAGTTGAGATCACATTTGATAGAAAAGTTGGTTAGGATACTATAGCATAAGTGCTTCTCCATGTTATGAAAACTCTTTATTTCAACATAATATTCCCTCATATGGCTGTAATAAAGTTTATTTAATCATTTACCAACTGTTGGAAATTTAGGTTGCCTTTAATTGTGTGCTATTAGAAACAGAGCTTTGATAATATCTCTTGCTAAAATTATAAATTCCTCAAAGTCAGGGACTGTGTTTTCACGAATGCCTAGCACACAGCATGGCACATAGTAGGCTCTTAAATGTTGTTGACTAACAGAATAATTATTTGTTTTCATTTTGAGTTATTTTCTAAGCATTAATTCCCTGAAGCAGAATCACTGGGTCAAAAGGTATGAACAATTTTTAAAACATAATGTGAAATTGCTTTTCATGTAAATCGTACCAATATAACTATCTCCAGCAGTGTATGACAGTACCTTCTTTAATGCAAACAAAGTACTATCTTAAAATTTTTTTCCCTAATTTGATAGAAAAAAATGGTGCCTGTTGCATTAATTTGCTAACAAGGTTGAATATTCTTTCAAGTTTTTATTGGTTATTTGTAGTTCCTCAATTATGAGACAGAACTGACTTAGTCTTTGAGATAGTGGGCAGCTCTGGAAAGTTTCTCTGGAGAAATGACATCTAAACTGAGACCTAAAGAGTAAACAGAAATTGGCCAGGCACAAAACACTTATTAATTACAAGGGGAAAAACAGCAAATTTACAGCAGAGAAATGTGGCAGATACTGCGTTAATGAAGTCATCAAACTTAACATCAACAGTAATGGGACAAATCTACATCATGTACTTCCTGATGATATACTGAGGACACAGCATCATCTCTGTGGTATTCTTGCAATAAATGCATAATTTGAATCAAATCATGAGGACATATCACACAAAATAAGTCTCAGGGACATTCTATAAAATAACTGGCCTGTACTCTTAAAAAAAAACCAAGGTCATAAAAGGCAAGTAAAGTCTGAAGTATTATTTCAGATTAAAGGAGGCTAAAGAGGCATTACAACTAAATGTAATATGTTATCTTGGATTGGATCCTGGATCACAAGGTGGGGTTTTTCCCCCCATAAATGATATTGGGACAATTAAAGAAATTTGAATGGGTCTGTGGATTAGGTGGTAGTATAATGCCAGTGCTCATTTCCTGATTTTGATGACTGTGCCACAGTTATGGAAGAGTCTTGAGGAAATTCACACCGAAGTATTTAGGAGAAATGGGGCACCATGTCTGCAATTTACTCTCAACTGGTTCAGAAAAAATAACGTGTGTGTGTGTGTATGTATGTGTGTAAATAGAGAGAAAGATAAGGCAAACGTTAACAAGTGGGGGACGTGGATAAGAGTATATGGGAATTCTTTGCACAACTCTTGCAATTTTCCTCTGAGCCTGAAATGATTTCAAAATAAAAAGTAAAAAGAAGTTTCAGTAGTTAAAAGTTTTTTTAATTGATGTTTTAATAGTTTTTAACATTGTGAAATTTTGGGTTGTACATTTTTGTTTGCCCATCACCATATATACGTCTCCCTTCACCCCTTGTGCCCACCCCCTACCCCCATTGCCCCTGGTAACCACAATACAGTTTTCTCTGTCCATGTGTTGGTTTATATTCCACATATGAGTGAGATCATACAGTGTTTGTCTTTCTCTTTCTGGCTTACTTCA